CCAAGTTCTCCCATGTCTCTTGTTATTTTCCCATCTTTATCTCCCACGATTCCACCATTGTCCAATCGCCTCACTCTGCACGAGCTCTCCTGCCTCCTGCTTCGGCCAGAAGGACTCACGTCTCTCTGAATGCTTCCTCGGATCTCCCTCCCTTTCTCCCACAAATATTTCCTAAGTGTTTGCCAGAGCCAGGCATGGTGCTGAACAGGGGGCACCAGGCAGCCTGGAAGCAGGGCAGGCCCAGCCCCTGCCCTCAGGTGGTTTAAAGTCTATGTGAGAAGGCGACAATTTGAAAGACAGTTTCATCTGATAGACTTGATATCCTGGAGACGCTGGTTAACATTTTTTTCCCTGTTTAGTACACACTGAAGGTCTTGACACTCCAGAATTTTATTTTTAAGCTTGAAACAAGAATACCAAAAGGTTAAGATGTTAGCTTTTAAAATTAATTATCTTAAAATTAGAATTCTCTGTTACCAATACAAAGGAGAAAGAGCATCCAACGTGAATAATGAAGGATTCTAATTCAGGAGATGCAGGAGGGGAAAAGTAAACCTGGTATTATCCTCCACGATGAACAAGAGGCCTTGTTCCAATTACATGGTGTATTTAGGTTTAATAGCATCAGCTTCCTCCTGTATAACTTTTTGGTTTCTGGTGGGCAATCCTCTGTGGCAGCTCAGAAACATGACCCGAAGCCTCTATTTGACTCTCCAAGACAGTTTTAAGAGGTCCTTATACCCTAAGACACTGGAAAGGGTGGTGCAGATTTTCATGAAGAATGTTAAAAATCAAGATGTTGGCCAGCTTGAGCAAGAGTGAGATCCAGTCTCTACAAAAATAGAAAAAATTAGCTGGGCATGGTGGTAAGTGCCTGTAGTCCCAGCTACTCGGGAGGCCGAGGCAGGAGGATCGCTTGAGGCCAGGAGTTTGACGTTGCTGTGAGCTAAGGCTGATGCCACGGCACTCTAGCCTGGGCAATAGAGCGATACTCTGTCTCAAAAAAAAAAAAAATTGTTGGGCTTTTGTAAATCTTGTTAGCATCTAATACAGAATCCAGCATGTAATAGCTTTTTAAAAAAGTGATTATTTCACATTTTCTTCTCTTCTGCATTCCCTAGAATATCTAGCACAGAGCTGGTAGGTACAAATAAACACATCTTGATCTGATGATGGAGCATGAAATCCCGGCCCTAAGGGGCACTATGGCTTGAAGGGACAGGGGTAATGGCAGATACAGGACTGCTGCTACGGTCACAGGAAGCCCTCCCAGGCGGCATACATCTTGCAACAGATCTTAAAAGTATGGCAATGGGGCATCCCATTGGCCAAACAATGATCAAAGAACATAATTCAACTCTGAGCATATTACAAACCAATCAAGTCATTTACAAAGCACTAATGTATTAGAGAAAGTTCTGAATCTGAAAGCACTGAGTACCCCTCTATACACATGCACACAGGTTTATCTATGTATATTAAGTGGTACTGTTATTAATGATGAATATTCTAGAACTGCTGTTTGAATTTGTCCTTAACACCAAGAAAAGAAGTTTAATTTCAAAAGACATTCAAGAAATCAAAACCAGAGGCAAGATACAAATGTTTACTGGCACAGCAGGAATGCTTTAAGTTCATTTTAGGAAGTTTAAGTTCATGGATAGAGGTCAATTAGGTAGGCTAATGACTACATTCTACCTGTGTCAGAGTGACCTCCCAAGGATCAACACTGCTTTTTTTCAGGTGGACCAAAAAGGCGTTCACACAAACAAGATAAATCTAGACCATATACCCATCTGACTGCATGGAAAGGTCTGAACATGAAATGAACCAGACAACGGAGGTCCTTAATGCCACACTGATTTATAGCAGCTTGTCCGAATGCAAGCACTTCCGTGGAATAAATGCAGCAAGGCAACGTCTGGTCCCCTTCAGCAAGGCAGAGCCTCCAAAAAATGAGAGCCTAGGCCTCCAATCCTGCTTTGCAAATCAGAATGGGAAGTACTCAAACCAGCTCACACTGATGAGCTCAGAAAAAGATTTAATCTTTTAAACACAGTGTTCTGTAGCTGGTACCCAGGAGTAGTAGAGGCGGCCAGTGAGGCACTCTGCTCAGCAAATGTACCTTAGCAAGCTCTAGGAGAGGAAAGTGAGTTTGCTTTTAGTTATTAGGTGCTACACGTGTCAACTGGTATCTGCTACTTGGACTGGCCATGATGAATGGGCTGCCTAGGAAGCAAAGTGGCAACATGCCAGGCAGCTGAGGTGACCGAGCCCTCGGGTCCTGCCTTGGGCCCCTGCAGTGCACAAGGGACCAAATAGTGACCCCAGAGCCAGAATTGTCCCAATTGCCCTCTTTTCCCCACCCAACCCCCCCAAACCAAGTAGCCAACAAACTGGGATACAGCCCCACATTTATGATCTTGTCTTTAGTTGAAACTCACAGACCCTGTCCTTGCTGAAAAAATTTTTTTTTAAGCAGTACAGACACTGGGGAAGGAATCTAGGCTCGAGAGAGGCAAGAGAAGTATATCCCTGGTTTACTAAAGTTACTCTGAACGCCCACTTTTTTTTTTTTTAATAGAAATACAGTTGCCAAAGAGAAAGCAGCAATTTAAATGCCAAAAGCACCAGGCAGAGCTGAGAGGAGGAGTGTTCCAATGATTAATTACACTTACACCGGCTCTCCTCAACACTGAGCTCTCCTGCGAAGAGTTTAACAGACTTGTCCATTAGTTACTTGTGAATCATCCTCCACTTGCCTCATTTCCCTTCGAAGTTTGTACTTAGTAATTTGCACTTATTTAAATATCCACTCACATGGTTTTGTTCTTAGGGGGGAAAGAAGGAAGAAAAGCCAGTGCCTGTCTCAGTAGTTCAGCGACTTAAATTGGTCATTCGAGGAAATTTCTTAAAAACCACTTTTATCTGGTGCAGTGCAGAACTCAGAATGTAATTGGTCTGTAGTGGATCTCGTTTGACAGAATGGATCTCATTTGACAGAATTGATCATGAGAAGAAATATAAAGACTTCAATTCAGTAATGAATTGAAGACTCTAACAAGATACTATAGCATGGGCCCTCAAAAGTCAGTTTCTGTGAAATGCTAGTGAAGCTATTTAAAACAACAACAACAACAACACAACACCAAAAAAAACAAAGGATGGGGACAGAGAGTCAGATACACTAGTTTTTAGTACCAGACTTAGAGGAGATTTTCTTAAGATTGCAAAGTTATCTGCTGTTAATTCCTTTTCAAGTAGCTAGTTCATTTTCATATGGGCATTTCATATGTAACAGTGACTCTTAAAATATGATATAAAGTTATTATTCCTTTTTATTTCATACAAACACTTTTTACTCTTCCAACAATTATTCCTAAAAAGAGAAAATATTTCAGCAGTAAATTTCAAGTCTATCACTGTGATCTAAGTTCTCTCTCAAAAATTAAGCCCCACCAGGAGTGCTGGGTCCAGTGCAGTTTTAAGAGCAAACTGAGCACCTATGTCCCACCAGTGCCATCAGCCTTCAGCCTCTGCCAGGTGCGTGGAGCCTCAGCTCAGTATCTGGGCCTCGGTGCAAACCAGGACCGCAGTGTACAATGAGGGGAGGTCACCAGCAGCCCGGCCAGCATTGCTTTTTCCAAAGACGGAGTCCCTTGTGCCTGAGTGAGCACGTGAGAAATTCCTAAAAACTTTCAGCAGTGGGGGTGGGGAGTAGAAGCACAAATCTTTAAGAAAGTGTACTAAGCTTGGTTTGCCTTATGGACCGTATTATTGGGGGGGAAATACAGGGTAAGCTGTGCTATTACTCAACTTGTAAGGTCACCCAGGGTGGAAAGATAGCACTTAATGCAGGATAAATTAGGATTTTAAGTTTAGGGCAAATTAGAGAAAGTGTTTACTAGATTTAAAGGGATTTAGTATAAATCAGTACAGATTGAGCATTCCTTACCTGAAATGCTTAGAACCAGAATTGTTTCAGATTTTAGATTTTTTATTTTGGAATATTTGCATATACATAATGAGATATCTTGGGGATGGGGCCCAAGTCTAAACACAAAATTTATTTATTTCACATATACCTTAAACTTATAGCCTAAAAGTAATTTTATACAATATTTTAAATTTGTACATGAAACAAAAGTTGTGTCGAGTACTTATTGTGAAATTTTCCACTTGTGGCATCATGTCAGCACCCAAAAAGTCTAGGATTCTGGAGCATTTTGGATTTCAGACTTTCTGATTAGGGATGCTCAGCCTGTACTTCGATTTCTGCTCTTAAAAAAATAATCCTTAGTGTTTACGCATCTGGCTTTCCATATGAAACTTGGGTAACCCATGTCTGCTCCTTTCTGAGGAAAAATAATCAGGGATTAGCAGGTATTTCAAAAGTTAAAATGAAGAACCAGGCAAGTATGGAGGGAAAGGAACAACAGTACACGTTTTTACATGGTAGGAACCAAGAGCCAGAGGAAGATCCTTCTCAGAATTGTGGCCAAAATTAGTGGGTTCCTAAGACCAACAAGCATGGGAGGGTTTTATGGAATACTGTCATTTCCAGATGACAGTGTTGTGTTCCACGAGCAGAGCTGCAGCCTGTGATGTGTATGTGCGTGTTGAATTCACATTTCCTATCTTTGCAGAGGCCACTCAGGAATTATTACTGCTCTGGTTTTCTGCTTTTCAAGTTGGCAAACTCAGACTCCCTCTGGAGAAGTTTTGTAAAAGGCCACTCTTTGGGCACTGTGATGCTGGATTGTAGAGCAGTCTTCTTCCAAAGAATAATTTCTTTTCTTACCGACTTCTACACTGAAATCATATTGTACAGAGGTCCCTGATGGAAAAACTCTTTCCTTCAGAAAGAGCATTGAAAACTTCTTACAAATGAAAATGACTATAATTACTTGTATTGCAAAAATATAAATCCTATTTTATAGAGCAAAAGGCACGATGAAACTCGTTTCCCCTTTGAAGCAAATGTTCCAAAAGCAACTCACCTGGAAATCTTGATCATCGATTCCGAACCTCTCCCGCAGATTACGGAAAACCATCGGGCAGTATTCCTTGAACTTGAAGTGGCTCGGCATGTTTTCTCTGAAACAAGCACGTTGTGGAATAAAGCTCAGGTAGACAAAGAGTTGACCAGACTTGCATCTGCCACGTGTGGCCACAGAAGTGCCTGGGGTTCACCGTCCGCACGAGGCGCAGGTGCGTCTCCCACCCCACAAGGACAGCCAGGAGACAGAGGGGGCCAGACGGATGATGTCTGTCCCTTTGTCACAGGCATGCTTTGACTGTGTGCCCTCTGCCATCTTGCCACATGCCACAGCAGCCGTTCCTCACGGAAAAAGCGGTGGCCACGGAAGGAAGGGGCAGACGACACCCGGGAGGAGGAGCGGGGCATCAGGCACCTGGTGAAGGCACCGCAGAGCGCATGCGTAGTCCCTGCCGCGCCTGCGCAGTCCCCGCCGCGCCTGCGCAGTCCCTGCCGAGTAGCCGCACGAAGCAGGCTGCACCCTCACTCCCTCAATAGCTTTTTATAGAAATACCATATTCTAAACTCGCTACAGAAAATTCCCTCAGAAAGCCAACCTCTAAACAGTGTTATAAGAAAAAAATGAATGCATCAGCTTCACACGGGGACAATGGTCCCACTAAGAAACCCCACATGGGTCCTCACGTGGGAGGGGTTTCTTTGAGGTGCACCCTAATCATTCAGACCTGGTTCCACCTTTGTGTTCCCACAGAACCAAGATATGTATATAAATGACACATACACACGTGCCTATTGCTGTACTCTGCACACTAAATGACAGTAATTTGTATACATGTCAATTTTTAACTACTGGCCTCACTGAGCCCCTTGAGGGCAGGGCCATGTCTTAGGAATCATCCTATCCCTGTCTCTCCATGGACTACCTAACAGTTAATAGGTGCCCTGTAACAACGTCTAGAGCGACATTCAAATGAAGGAGAAATATTCTCGACACCCGACCATCCAATTACGCTTTATAAAAATGTACCTTCGTTCTCTATTGTTCTATGATGTAGTCATCACTGTGTGTAAAGTCATCATTTCCAAAGTTTTGTGTAAGAGAGCAGAGGTTCATAACTGCTCACAAGTCCAAGCAATTTACAGCTTCAAAAATTCAAATTGTAATGAGAATATCACTTTCAAAGTATAAGATATTCATAGAAAACAATATGCCATATGGCAAAGGATATTATCCCAGAGGGCCTGCTGCTGCTTCTCTGAAAATGACAGATGGTTATGTTTATCACAGGATTAACTTCATCAGCAAAACTTTACTCCCACCCATTGAAAAATTATGCGATTAGAGAAATGCACAGAAATCGCACTCCTGGCAGTTACGTCAGTCCCGTGAAAGGTCGTACTTGTACTTACTTGTTAAAAAGGTGATTATCCACCTTAATTTTTGAATAGGCTTTGAAGTCATCTGGCATCAACATAACAGGGATTTGAACATGGCTCAGTTCATTGATCTAGAAAAATATAAAATAAATGGCACAGGTTACTACTATCTGGGTGGGAAGGGCTCGACTTGAATGTGTACCTCGTAGGAAAACCTGGAGGATGAAGGAGCTCCTCTGCCTGCCTCCCTCATTTCCTCATCACACTTTATCTCCATTTCCCATCCAGCTGCAAGTCCCACGTCTCATGTCTGCCTGACCCTGGGCCTGTGCTACCTGTTGACAACAGCAGCAAGGGAGGAATACCAGAGGGTGGACCCTCATGCCACCTGTCCCCTGCTTCTCTCCCATAACCCAGAACCACCCAAAACCTCAACCCAAGCCCTGCTGATCACATGCCCAAGACTACGTGCCTCCATAAAGAAAACATTATCTGACAAACAGGGCTTTTCAATTTTTCATGTAAATATTTGTTTAATTAATAGATAAGATTTATACTTTTGGATACTCAAAGAACAACGCTATCATGCATGTGCTATTTACCTTCCGTATAGGAACTATGTTTAAAAATAAAGATGGGGTAGGGCATGAGTTTACCAAAAGAGGAACCTCCATTAAGGGAAGGAGGAAGATATATGAGAGGTGTTGGACAGGGCTCAAGAAGAAAAGCAGGCTGAGCAAGGTGGCTCACTCCTGTAATCCCAGCACTTTGGGAGGCGGGAGGATTGCTCGAGGCCAGGAGTTTGAGACCAGCCTGAGCATCACAGCAAGGCCTCATTTCTACCAAAAATACAAAAAAATTAGCCAGGCATGGTGGTGCGTGCCTATAGTCCCAGCTACTTGGGGGGCTGAGGCAGGATCACTTGAGCTTAGGAGTTCCAGGCTGCAGTGAGCTGTGATTGTGCCACTGCACTCTGGCCTGAGTGACAGAGCAAGACCTTATCTCAAAAAGCAAACAAAAAAACCAAAAACAAAGGTGTGTTTCCAGAAGACACACAGTAGAACCAAGTTCCGGCCAATGGCAGCGACAGCTTTTGACACATGACTTTGAAAAGCTGAACTTTCTCTTGGTTCATTATTTTTGCATCTTGATGCCCAAGCTACATTTCCCTTGTTGATAGTGGTAAAAACCACTTTAAAGTTTTATGTTTCCCGTGGGTACCGAGTAGGGACTCTGAAAAATTCTCAGTTACGAAAGCAAAATATGCCGATAACAAAAGAATGAGTTCCCTAATAGAGCAAAGTTTTTAACACATTTCTGGATTCACAGAGAGCAGGGGAAATCTCCAAGACACCCTTCTTCTTCCCCCAAAGTGAGTTTAATCCATAAGGACTGTGGTGATCATTAGGCAGGCCTGAAAGGAGGGCTTTCTCTGAAGACAAATGCCAATGTCAACCTTTATGTGGGCCAAGGGAAAGCAAGGGAACTAGACCAAAAGCTTCAGCATTAAACTCAGATCCTTGAAGGAACTGAGTTTAAACCTTTGAAAGTGGCCCTGACACCTGATGGAAGTAGATGCAAATGGTCTCTGGAAGAAAGCGCCCCCAATTCAAGCCTCCAGGATTCCGATCAACCAAATACGAGCTCACAGAGATAACACAAATTGATTAATATTTATGACTTCAAGGTTGGGTGCGGTGGCTCACACCTGCATTTCTACCACTCTGGGAGGCTGAGGCAGGAGGATCACTTGAGCTCAGGAAATTGAGACCAGCAAGAGTGAGACCCTGTCTCTACCAAAAATAGAAAAATTAGCCAGGTGTCATGGTGCACACCTAGAGTCCCAGCTACTTGTGAGGCTGAGGCAGGAGGATCACTTGAGCCCAGGAGCTAGAGGTCTCAGTGAGCTATGACGATGACACTGCACTCTACCCGGGGCAACGGAACGAGATTCTGTCTCCAAACAAGAACAACAAAAGACTTCAGCTATTAGGATGATCAGATACAGAATAAAAACCATACACTATATGTGAAATGTATAACGGAACAGACAAACAAAGATGATTAATATCTGAAGATATAATAAGGACTGAGAATTTTCTGCAACTGATGAATGTTATACATTTATGGATACAGAATATTCAAAGCTATAAATAATATTCAAAGCACACCTAAATATACTGCCAATAAACTAAAGAATGCCAAAGGCATGATAAGAAAGGTGGCCAGAGAGAAAAGACAGAATACAACAAAGGAATGACAATCGAATTGATGGCTTCTCAAACATATAGGAAGCCGCCATTGAACAAAAACAGGAATCTAAAATAAAACTTCTCCCACCCAGTTTATACCAGTATCTTACAGTACTAAGTCATTCTCAGAGGATATTTAATATACGATATTAAAACATGCATATCTTTATCCTAGCAATGCAATATCAAACTTTGAAAAATAACAGAAAAAGAGTGGAAACCCAAGCCCTGTGACAATAACCACAATTAGAATGAAGTCGGATGCCAATTCAGTCTGCATTTCAGTATCTTGTGGAACCAGAGAAGAACAAAAATAAAAACAAAGTGCAGGATGGCAAGGAATAGTTAAAAAGTAATCAACTCCACATCGCTTTCATACAGATAAAAAGTTGCAGAGATGGCAGGGCGAGGTGGCTCATGCCTATAATCCTAGCACTCTGGGAAGCTAAGGCCAGTAGATTGCTCAAGGTCAGGAGTTTGAAACCAGCCTGAGCAAGAAGGAGACCCCATTTTTACTAAAAATAGAAATTAATTGGACAACTAAAAATATATGGAAAAAATTAGGCGGGCATGGTGGCGCATGCCTGTAGTCCCAGCTACTCGGGAGGCTGAGGCGGGAGGATAGCCTGAGCCCTGGAGTTTGAGGTTGCTGTGAGCTAGGCTGACTCCATAGCACTCTAGCCCGGGCAATAGAGTGAGACTCTGTTTCAAAAAAAAAAAAAAAGTTGCAGACAACATGACAAGTGATTTCCATCTCAGCTGTGCTGTAAGTGATCACGGGAATGTAAAGCCCACTCGGGAAGTAGGATCAAACACCATTTTTTTTTTTTTTTACAGCACATGATGCACTCGGCCGATCCTCCACATCCCTTGATTACCCCCAAGTCTGCTGAGATCAGTATCGCATAGCAGCATCTCCTTTCCCAGGGAAACTTTTTGAATCCTATCTTGCTGTACAAGTACCTGCTCTGGAAAATGTCGTATATATATATATAAAAAAAAAAATAGGAAAACTTCTCAGCCAAAATGGACTGCAAAAAATGAGAATTTCTCTTATGGATTTTCCTTCCCATCCCTCATCTCACCAGCACCACCTTTGAGAGGCCACTTGGTGCAGGGTGAGACCCAACACCAGTCTTCACCCTCGTGGTTCTTATGGTCCAGGGGGCAGACATACCAACTGAGGAATTGCACAGGTGAAAAACTGTAACAATGCAGGGCCAGGTCGGGGGACAGGTGAGGCTTCCCTGGGCGGTGACAGCAGCAAGAGGGGAAGAAGGCAGGTGGAGAGGGCTTCCAAGAAGAAGGCAGGCCCTGGGCAGGAGGGGCACAGCTAACGGGAGGAAGGGCGTATGGCACCAGCAGGTGGAATTGCATGCCCGGGCACACTGGGGCGCGGCCGCTGCAAACCCCCACAAGTCAGAAGGCAGCAGAGGCAAAGGAGGTAGACAGACTCCAGCTCGCCTGGGTGGCAGAATCACCACGGCTTGACAGCAGGCTGGAAACATAGGCAAAGATTGCGGTGGGAGTCAGAATGGCTTGCAGAACAGGGCAGCTGGAGACTCCGCTGATTGAGATGGTGCATTTTAAGAGAAAAGCTCAGTTCAGTTTTCATCTTCTTAAATTTGATGCACTCTTGAGGCATCTGAGCGTTGGTGTCAGCTAGGCAGGTGGATGGGTGGCTCTCAAGTTCCCCAAGGAGGAAGGGATGGGCGATAAAAATGCTCACATCCAGGAATCAGACATCAGCTTCCTGTAGGGAAGGCTGCGGGAATCGGGGAAGGGGGCAGGAGGGCTGAGATGCTGTCTAGAAGAGTCTAGAACAAGTGTCCTTAAACTACGGCCTGCAGGCCACATGCGGCCCACCGAGGACATTTATCTGGGCCGCTGGGTGTTTTTGCCGCTGCCTGTCCTGCTTAGCAGCCGACTCCTCCTGGGCCCACGGTGCACATGCGTGGAATGTGCCCCCCACTCTCTAACAGCCCTTCAACAGCCTGAGGGACATTGCATTGGCCCCCTGTTTAAAAAGTTTGAGGACCCCTGGGGTCTAGAAGGAACATTGGGGGTTCACAGCCCGGAGGAGAGGATGGTCCTGCCAAGGGGGAGGGGAAGAACCGCCAGAGAGGTGGGAAAGGAGAGGCAGGGCCACCCCAGGAACGAAGGGCAGCGCAATACTGGAACAGAAGAGGCAGGCTGAGGGGCTCAGAGGCTCAGAAAGAACAAGCACAGAGAACCGAACAAGTGACTGCAGAACACGGACAGGCGAGTTTAGAGAGAAACATGGGGCAGGGCTTGGGGGCAGAGTCAAGAGTCCCTGGCAGTCCCTGACGGCTGGTGGGGTGAGGGCTTGTGGGGCGACCACGTTCCTGCAGGGCTCGGCCTCAGGGTGCAGGTGCAGAGGCAGAGGATGGGTGGGGCCCTTCAGGACAGGGGATTTTGCTAGTCGAGTCTGACATAAAGGTAAAGGAGTGAGGGAATTCTTAGACAATCCCTTGGAAACAAAGTCAGGACAGAACATGATCCCTGATGGGGAGGAGCTGTCTACTGTAGCTGATGGGGCAGGATATTCACAAACGGTAATATGCAAGCCAACATGGAAGAAAGGCTGGGGTTTAGACAGTAAGTGCCACCGGGACTCACAGCTGGCAGCCCCTGGCACAGGGGTGGGGGGAAGGCTTCCTGGAGGGAGTGAAGCCCCAGGTACCTCGTGAGGGATGGAGAGCTGTAGGTGCCTCTGAAATGCCAGGAAAATGCAAACCTTGAGTGACTCCTCCTCTTCAAAAATCAGACTGCTCTAAGAGGTCGGGAATGTTTGGTCCTTATTATTAAAGAAGACAAGAAATGAGATAAGAAGAGAAATCGAAGATAGTTATATTAGA